TTCAGCTGGTGTGGAGAAGGATGCTGAGAGCCATCAATAATGTAGGCTCGGAATAATTGGTACAAGTTTTTCGTAGGGTTCCTTATTAGAATTCTAGTGTAATCTAACCCAAGCGCGCATTCCAATTCTTAAGGCCCCTGACTAAGTCTACTCGTACCAAAGGGGTTACCCTCTAGGGCCTCAAGCTTTCTGGAGAGATGAGGACCGCAAATACATTCACAAGATCGCAGAGTCCTTCCGGCTGCATACGCTGCGGCGGCCTCGGAACACGGTTTATCTGCGCAAAATGAAGGGGTTAAAATCGTACTGCGGAGTGCAGAATCCCAAGCCCTAAACCGAAGCCCTAAACCCTTAAACCCTTAAAAACCCGAAACCATCCGAAACCCAAACCTCAAACCCCAACCTGTACACCCTGTACCTTACAACCAAGCCAAAACCTCAAACCCCACCAGCCCTCAACAGCAAACTCGAAATCCTTCAGCCCTACGCCCCCAAAATGCTGAACCCAAGAGGAGATCAGGATAATCCCCAAGCCTTCTTCCCTATACCCAAAACCCTCAACTCCAAACCCCAAACCCTTAACCCCACACCTCAGACGCAATGATCTAAGGTCTATGCCTTCGTAAGGCTTTAAATTTGCACAGAGCCTAAACGCTAGAAGCCCGAGTCCGTAACGACCCCAAACCTTCGAAAACCCCGAGCGAGCCCGAATGCCCCTGTGGAACACTAAAGGATTCAGGCACTGACAGCTTGAAATGTAGCAACCTGATTAAGAAGCCCTGGGACTATAACCCCCAAATAGAAGGATTCATGTAAGGAACTCTAGTAAAGGCCCAAGATTTCTTAACCAGGTTCCTGAATTAGAACCCTCCTGACTGCTGATACTTAAAGGATCATGGGACTTAGTAATTACGGGTCTTTTAGGGTGACTATATATATAGTTACTTGTAATCCAAATTAAGGTACATATATCCATGCTTACTAAGTCCCATGATCCTCCAAGTACCCCTGTGCCTGAAAGTCCGCGGCAGTCGACATCGCACCGGTGCACAGTTATTTTGCTTAAAGGAACCCTGAAACGAACCCGTAGATGAACCGACGAAGCCCTAAACCCCTAAACCCCATCATAGATCGCAAAAAAAAAATTCCTTGACAGATCCCCCAAAAAAGGTAGCCTTAGAAACCCTATTTTGAAACCCTAAACCCTTGGAAGTGGTCCCTAAACCCCTTAAGGGTTCCTTTGCGGGTTCCTTTAAGGGACCCATAAGGCATCACCTTTGAACTCCCAAACCCCTTAAAGGTAACACATAGAAGCCTGACTAATTACCTGCATGATTCCTAAGGGTTCCTTAGTATAATTTTTTCAATAAAGGAGCCCAAAACCTTATTCTAACTATAAACCCTAAACCCTAAACCGCCCCCGGTTCCGAAGTTCAGGTCGAGCGGCACAGGGGACGCGCGCTTTATCAGCGTCTACAAAAATCCGCCGGCAGGCGCCGTCTGGGCAGAAAGCTTGAGGGGTTTATGGAGGTTTATGGAGGTTTCGGGTTCGGGGTTTAGGAGTTTAGTTTGGGGTTTAGTTTGGGGTTCAGTTTGGGGGTTTAGGGGTTTAGGGGTTTATAGAAGTTTCGGGTTTGGGGTTTAGGGGCTTACAGGGGCTTGTAGGGGTTTTCAGGGGGGTTCAGGGGTTGAGGATTTTTAAGGGTTTACAGAAACTTGTATATTAAAAAGGTGTGGGGTTTGGGGGTTTATCGGGGTTTGGGGGTTCAGGGTTTTAGGGTTTCGGGCTTTACAAGTATCCCCCGAGGCTCCAAAGCAGCATAAGTAAGGACTACCCCCTGACTTTCTAGTAGGAGCCCGAATATTTCTGTGGATATTCTTTCATCGTTTTTGTTTGGTGCTGTTGGGATTTTGGTGTTCTCACCAATTCCCCTAAGACCAGCAGGACTCCATAACAAGAAACTTCAACCCCTTATCTCAGGAGTATGCTTTAAATTTCTTTGGATTTCCCATTATAACTTGAGGTCTATTCCTCAATTTAGGGGGTTTGGAGTCTGCGAAGTACCCCAACAGAACCAGTATACAACCCTTAGAGAAGTCCTTATAGAGCCCTTTCCTTATAGAACCCCTTGAAGGAATCCCTATAGAACCCCTGATTAAGAGGGTTTTCTGGTCAGACCTCCGGCCTCTTCCTAAACTCTAAGCCCTAAGCCTTAAATCCTAAACCCTGTATCTTAAACTCCTATACCCTAAACCCCAAACTCCTATACTATACCCAAACCTCAAACTCCTATACCCTCAACCCCAAACTTATATACCCTAAACCCCAAACTTATATACCCTAAACCCCTAAACCCTATAAGCCCAAAACCAGTAAAGAACAACCACTAAAATAACCCTTATGGGCACCCCGAAACCTTAAAAGCCTAAAGCCTAAACCCTACACCCCAGACCTGAAACCCTATACACCCTTAGTTCCCCTTAAAGGAACCCTTATAGATCCCTGTGAAGGCACCCCGTATAAGTCCTAAACCCCCGAAAATCCTCTTCCGCACAGGCGCCGAAGCGAAGCGGCCTAATTATTCCTTAATTAAATAAATGTTCCTTAATTAAATGGGTTTTGGAGTCTCTGAAATACACTTGAAGGAACCAGTTTAGAACCCTAAACTCCTTATAGAATCTGATTTTGTAAGGGGCTTTTGGAGTCTTTTAACGTTAAAAAACACGCTAACTCCTTAAAGAATCTGATTTTGTAAGGGGCTTTTGGAGTCAGACCACCAGCCTCTTCCGCGCAGGCGCCGAAGCGAAACGGCCGAGAGAGCCCGCCGGGGCGGCGCAGCCCTTGGTCCTTTCGCCCGGAGCTCGGGGGGGCCCGCGTTTTGGGTTTTAAGGATTAGGGGTTTTCGGGGTTTTGGGGTTTAGGGTATGGGATTTGGGGTTCAAGGTTGAAGTTTTAGGGTTTAGGGAGTTTAGGGTTTGATTGTTGTGTAGTGTGCTTAGTATTCACAATTATACTGAAATGCAAGGAGCGTTGGGAGGTTTTGTGTTTAGGGCTCATTTCTTAGAAGAGGGTTCAAGGCTTCAGATGTGTCAATATGGGAGTTTCCAAAAATTAGGGGTGCCTTTAAAGGGGTCCTTTAAGGGTTCCTTAAAGGGATCTATAAGGGTAGGGTTCTATAAAGGGTTTAGGGCTTAGGGTTAAGGGCCTTAACAATTATCAAGACTATTTTGGGGTAGTTCGCGTTTCGACGGCCTTGAGTTTGAAAGTTTGCAGTGCTTCACACTTTCGGGTTTGGGGGTCGTGTTGGGTTTAGGTAGGGCAGTGTGGGGTGCAGAAGTGGAAGTTCATGGGCAGTGTGGGGTGCAGAGGTGGAAGTTCACCAATTTCTGCCAAGTTCAAGTCCAGAGCGAGACCTAACCGTAAAGGCTACAAATCCCAAACCCTTCTCATTGCGCGTGGAACTCTCATAGAAAACTGATAGAGCCCTTATAGAGCTCTGACAGAATTGTTGTAGAACTGCAAAATGCAACCTTTGCAGAGCCGAACTCAGCAATGGAGCACATGCAGAACCTTCTTAGATATCCCCCCAGAATCCTTAGCCTCATCGTATGACAGCCTAAACCCTCAACCCCAAAACCCCTGAAACTTTAAACCTGAAGCCAAACACAAAGCCCTACACCAGGGCTTCAGCCGGACAAAGGCTTCGGCAGCTTGCGCCAAGCTCGGAAGTTTTTGATTTTTTAAGGGTTTAGGGTTTTTGAAGTTGAGGGAGCCTTCGGGCTTAGGGGTTTGGGGTTAAAGGGTTTAAGGGAGACGGCTCCGGGTTCGGGCTTAGGGATGGTTTTGGGGTGTAGGATGTGGGAGTTTCCGAAAATTAGGGTTGCCTTTAAAGGGATCCTCCTTAAAGGGATCTATAAGGGTAGGGTTCTATAAAGGGTTTAGGGCTTAGGGTATGGGAGTTTCCGAAAATAAGGGGTACCTTATTTTGGGGCCCCATTTTCGGAAACTCCCATGTAGGAAAGGGTTTCCAAAGCCCAAACCCCTCAACTCTAAACCAAGCTTCCTGACAGCGTTAGACGTCGTGCACATCCCCCGAAAAATCCTCCGAGCACTGAGCAAACACCACTTGGAGGATCATGAGACTTAGTAATCTAGGGGTAGTACGGTAGAGCTTTACTTATGACTCTTTATAATCCCAGTTAAGCTGCTTATAACCCTACTTGCTAAGTCGCATGATCCTTTAAGCAGCCTTTGCGGCTATGTTTGGGGTTTTCGAGGTAGCACGCGACTGCAAGTATGCCTGCCTTTCAGCTTCCTCACTCAGGGTCCGGAGTATTCATTTGAAGCAGTATTGCTGTAGATTCAAGGCTTCCAGCTTACTATTTAAAGTAGAAGCCAGAAGGTTGGAGCATCGTTATCCGAACCCTAAACCCTAAACCCTAGACCCTAAACCCTAAACCCTAAACCTTACATGTGGCTCACCTCAGCCGATCAGGCTGCAGGCACGATCCATCCTCCAACCAACCCACGGGAACAAGCCGCACACTGTTACATCTTGGGATCCCAGCCTCCCCACTATAGTAGCCCTTAAGCCCTAAACCCGAAACCCTGAAACCTAAGCCCTAAACCCTAAACCCTAGGCCCTGTATGAATCCGTTATAGTAATTGCTACATCCCTATCTATTCAGTTCAAAGATTCCAATATCCCTTAGTCAAGGAATATACCTCAAATTATGGTAGGGTTCCTAATATGATTTAAGGTATATTCCGTAATTAAGGGATATTAGAATCCCCTAAACCCTAAACCCGATAGATCCCTTAAAAGAACCCTAGATATTCCTTACTGAAGGGGCTCCGCAATTAAGGGGATATCAGAATCCGTTAAACCCTATAGATCCCCTGTAGATCCTTTGAAAGGAGCCCTAAGTATATTTCCTCAATTACGGGATATTAGAATCTCCGAATTTCGAGAACTACCCGTCTATTCTCGCCTCGTGGAATGCCGGGACCTGACTTGGCGGCCGCATCAGACACGGCCAAAGACTGCCTGATCCGCGGTTTGCAGGTGAGAAAGGGGAGATGATAGGGTTAAGAGTTTAGGGTTCAGGGTATAAGGTTTAGGTTTAGGGTTTAGGGTATAAGGTTCAGGGTTTAGGGTTTAGAAAAGGGAGATGCCAGCCCAACCTTCTCAATTATGATAGGCTCATGGGGACCTTGAGGTGGGTAAGGGGGAGACAAGCAGCTCAAAGCACGGTGGCTCTCTACTTGGAGGGGCAGGGGACTTAGTAAGTAGGGTTTTAATTGGGGCAACTCCATTTAGTGTACTTATACCTCCACTTATAACCCTACTTACTAAGTCTCCTGCCCCTTCAAGTAGGTTCTCCGTGTGACATGTGGGTGGTTGTCAAAATTAGGGTACCGTTTTGGGTCCTTATTATAATACGGCACCTAATAGGTAGGGTAACCAAAAAGGGACCATAATTTTGACAACCACCCACATGTAAGGGTACAGATGAGCATGCAAGATTGTATTATATTGTACTGTACTGTACTGTGCTGTACCGTGCTCTACCGTGCTGTACTGTTCTGTACTGTATTGGGTGGTATGGTATGTTATGACATGGTATGGGGCAATATTGTATAGTATTGTATGGTTCGGTATGGCATTGTATGGTACTGTATGGTATTGCCTGGTATTGTATGGTAATGTATTCTGTATGTCTGTATGCACGTATGTACATGCACATGTAGATGCGTGTGTGTATGCGTACATGTATGCGCATGCATATATATATATATATATATATACATACATATTTCTGCACACACACATAATTGAGGTTCTCTAGGGCTCCTATCCGACCTTCAGCGCATCCTGCCAGGGGTTTGCAAGAAGGAAGAGGGTTTAAGGGACCAGGGTTTGGGCGTGAGAAGGCGGATATAGAAGCCTGAACAATCACGACGATTTCTCCATAGGTTTCCATATTATCCATATTCTGTAGTATATATATATATATATATATCGAAAGACCCGGTTACAGCATTGAGGCTGGTACATTGACCGGGGAAGTTTGGGTCTACAAGCCTTCGACTTTCTCTTGATCCGGGTAGGACGCAGACTTCTGATTCATGCTTCCCCTGTCCCGAACAAGGATTCTAATCGGGATCCTGATAGTACCCTGAACCCGAAATCCTAAACCTTAAAATCCCTAAACCCCTACTTGGAGGGGCAGGGGACTTAGTAAGTAGGGTTATAAGTAGAGGTATAAGTCCCCTAAATGGAGTTACCCCAATTATATGCCTACTTATATCCCTACTTACTAAGTCCCCTGCGCCGCCAAGTAAACCGTGATTATGTCACAGTCCGAGGTGAAGGCTTTTTTTTATCATGGATCTACTTGGAATCTTGTCTATGAGCCGTTATAAATAAAGATCCTAATCTAGGGGCCTCAATGATTAGAGCAGGTTTCGGGGGTATAGCATCACATTCAGGATTTCTGGGGAACGCTCTTCAAATTTTATGCTATGACGTCTAGGAAGCTTGCTGTAAGCCCTACACCCTAAACCCCACCGAAACTCTCTGGCCAGGCGCATGTCAGCTTCCTGCAGATGCTGGGCAAAAGCTTTGCGATTTGTGGTTTTGGAGTTTTTACAGCCTTCAGGGTTTGAGGGTTTCGAGTTTGAGGGTGGATTGACGGATTTTGGGGTCTATGAGTCTATAGTTTTTATTCTGGCGTTAGACTGCTTTTTTGAAGTCTTTTTCGGTGCTCTGAGGTGTACAGGTCTTGGAGGATCGCGGAACTGAATGCGTAGGTCTCCATTAGCTACAAGCGGTCAACTCTATGCCTTTCGGGGTTCAGGGTTTAGGGTTTCGGGCAGTCTTCTGTGGGCGTTGCGTGCGAAGTGACGGACTTGATTTTGTTGTTTTGCAACAAGATCCATTTGCTATCCCCCATTTGGGAAATCCCTTTAAATGGGTGGTTGTCAAAATTAGGGCCCCTTTTTGGATCCCAAGTATAATACGGCACCTAATATTTCGGGTACCCCAAAAAGGGACCATGGCATAGTTTTGACAACCACCAAAATCATAATGCGCCAAACCTTAAAGCACGAAATGGAGACCCGAAGACCTGAAGCCCCACTCCCTGAACTGTAAGCTCTAATTCTAACTCCTTAAAGGGAACTCCAGAAAGTTGGAATATGGATTAATGGGTAGGATCCCCTGTAATTTACCTTAAAGGGGTTACGATAATGATATTCCAACTTTCTGGCTTCTACTGTAAACACTTAGAAGCCCGAAGTTCCAAACCCAAAGCCCTCAACCTGAAATCCTAGGTTTAAGCCTGAAGCCCTAAATCCCAAATCCTCAACCGAATATCTCGACACTCCCCAAAACCCTAAACCCTCACGGGCCCAAGGAAAGTTCTCTTGGAGTCCACGTCGACCGAGTCTGCACCTCTCGTATGCGAGAAGCAGGCCGTCCCCAGAAAATGCCTCGAGGACGCGGGGCTTCTCAAAGAAACCCTAAACCCCAAACCCCAAACCCTAAACCCCAAACCCTGAACCCCAAACCCCAAACCCCAAACCCTAAACCCCAAACCCCAAACCCTAAACCCCAAACCCCGAACCCTAAACCCCAAACCCCAAACCCTAAACCCCAAACCCCAAACCCTAAACCATTTTGGGTTTACGGTTTTGTGGGGTTCAGAGTTTAGGGTTTCTTAAAGGCCCAGGAAGGGTTGGAGTCCAGGACTTGCGGGGTTTCGGGTTAGGATTTCTTAGGAGCGCCTGGAAGGGCTCTTAAAGGGCTCCTTAAAGGGATCTATAGGGTTCCTTAAAGGGATCTACAGGGTTCGTTAAAGGGATCTACGGGGTTTAGGGTTTAGGGTCTACTTGGAGGGGAAGGGGACTTAGTATGTAGGTTATAAGTAGGGTTATAAGTGCGGTAACTCCATTTAGGGTACATATACCCGCCATACCTCTACTTACAACCCTACTTACTAAGTCCCCTGCCCATCCAAGTAGGGTTAGGATTTCTTAGGGGCGCCAGGACTTATAGGCTTGTTAGGGTGTCACTGTTGTTTTTAATGAGGGTTTGAAAGGATTCCTATTTGGGGTTCCTAGTTTTTTGAAGGGTTCGTGGGGTCTGGGAGGAAGGTTTGTCCGGACTTTCATGAGCCCTGAGCCCTAAACCCTAAATCCCAAACCCGAAACCGTAGGATACTTCTGGATGATGTTCTCCAGGGTGCAATGCGGTGAGCAGTGGCCGTTGAACGAAATCCAGAACCGTAAACCCTGAACCCAACGTCGTAAGCCCGAAATCCGGAGTGTGCCCAAGGCCTACTGTCCTTGACCTTGAACCCGAAAGCCTAAGCCGTACACCTCAAGCCCAAAGCTCTACAACCCGAAGACCGCGAACTCTGAGATTAGTGCCTTGGACTAGACCGCAAACAACAACACTTCATAATCCAAAAATGACCGAAGAAGAGACATCATTGAGAATTTTGGTGGTCGTCACCAGTATTATTGCTATGCCGTCATTTTTAGGATTATGGTCATCATTAGTACTGTGCCAGTTATTATGTTTATCTTGTTTTCATGCTTCTCCCCTAAGCCCTAACCCCTCCTTGTAGCAATCCTTGTGCAGAGCTCTGAAAGAACCCCCCCAAGCCTTGTTTTTGGTCCGAGAACTTGGAGGTTCATCGGTAGTTATAAGCTTACAAGTAAGACAACTTCAGGTGTAACTTACACTAGGGACTTATAATCCACTTCCAACTACCCATGATACTCCAAGCAGAGCCCTCATAGAGCCACTATTTATTGTAGCTCCAAGTAGAGAGCCCTTAGTAGAACCCTTTCAGAGCCCTTATTCACCCCGCGAACCTGAAGGGACCCTGGCCCTAAACCCTAGACCCCTAAACCCTCACCCCGAAGCTACCCATGAACCTCTGCAGACCCCTGAAAGGAGCCTTTTCAGCCCTACTTATAGCGACTCATGAACCTCCAAATAAAGCCCTAAACGCTAAACCCTAAAATCCTGAACCCTAAACCCTAAAGCCTAACACCCCAAACCCTAAACCCCTAAATCCCTAAACCCCTAACCCCTATGCTACCCATGAAACTCCACAAAGCCGCTTTGTCAGGAGCTGGAGTCGGCGTTGCGATCCCAGCGCCGGGAGCTCGACGAGGCAGCTTTATGTCTCTTTCGGGGGGGGTTTAGAGGGTTAGAATTTAGGGTTTTGGGGTTTAGGGTTTAGGGTTTTAGGGTTTAGGGTTTTGCGGGGTTTGGGGGATTCAGGGATTAAAATTTAGGGTTTTTGGGGTTTTGGGATTTAGGGTTTTAGAGTCTTAGGTTTAGGGTTTAGGGGTTGAAACCCTACCAGGACAGGGCTTGATCAGGCTTTTATCGGGGTTATATAGGGGTTTCATAGGGTTTGCAAGGTTTTAGGGTTTAATGTAGCAGCCTTACATATAATCAGAATAGGGTTTTGAGGTAGGTTGGACGATAAATATAATAAGCTACCCCCAAGACCCTGTTCTAATTATTAGGGTTCCTACATGAAGCCTTGAACTTGAAACCCTAAGCCCTAAACCCTCTCCTCAACTCTCAACCCGAAAGCCTAGTTTGGGGGTAGCGGGTTTAGGGCTCAGGGTTCCAGTTTTGAGTTGAGGGATTGCTCTCCCGCTTCGTTAGGTCCCAGGTCCTTGGGCTCGAAGCCTTTAAGCGATCCCTTTAAGGAATCCCTCTAAGGAGCGGTAAGTTACTAAGTCCCACAAGCCGCCAGTATGGAACTCTTATAGATACCTTTTACTTGGAGGGACAGGGGACTTAGTAAGTAGGGTTATAAGTAGAGTTATAAGTATCCTAAATGGAGTTACCCCACCTATAATCCTACTTATAACCCTACTTACTAAGTCCCCTGCCCGTCAAAGTAGGATCCCTTTAAGGAACCATACTTACTAAGTCCCATGATCCTGCCAAGTCAGCCTAATCTTTAGGCCTAAACCTAAACCCTAACCCCTAAACCCTAGAAGCTAAACCCTGAAACCCTACATCCTAAAATCGCCTGAAGCCCTAAGCCATCTACCCCCACACCCCTATAGTAGAAGCCAGAAAGTTGGAACATCATGGTCCTCCTTCCCTAAGGTAAAGTAGAGGGAATGTTGGCACTAATCATCCTAAATCCATGTTCCAGCTTTCTGGGGTTCACAGTAAGCCAAGCGCTAATACAGGGGCCATAATAATTAGAACATGGGGGCATAATATACTTCAATTATGATGATGAACCCCCCAAAACCCTATCCTAATGGTTAAGGCCCCTCCCTTACATCCCTTTATAAGGATCCCTTTAAGGAGCCCGTCAAGAACTCCTAAGCCACCGAGAGCTCCCGGGGAGGCGCAAGCGGCCCTCCGCGCCGAGCGGGCGCGCGGCCGCGCGCTGGAGCGGGCGCTGGAGGCCAAGGCTCAGCTCTGCGAGGCATCAAAAGGGGGAGACCTACTTGGAGGGGCAGGAGGGGACTTAGTAAGTAGGCTAATAAGGTAGGGTCATAATTGGGGTAACTCCATTTAGGGTAATTACTTAAACCTCTACTTATAACCCTACTTACTAAGTCCTCTGCCCCTCCAAGTAGGGGTTTAGGGGTTCCTTTGAGGGTTGGAGGAGTTGTAGGGGATTCAAAAATGGGATTCCTTAAGACAGATTTAGGGGTTTTAGGGCTTTTAGGGGACCTGTAAGGGTTCCTGAAAAGGGATCTATAATGGGGCTTAATTAACGGGTGTAGGGGTTTGGGAATTTGGGGTTTAGGGTTTAGGGTTTGGGGCAACGATCTTTTCAAGAAGAAGGAGAAGTAAAGACATACTTTCGTGTATATCTGTCTCTATACCTCTCTGTTGGTGTTAGGTGTTGTCATATACTTTGCCTTCCATACTAGGGATGCATGGGTTTTGGTGGTCATGGTGATGGTCGCTGCTGAGCTTTCTATTCCTACAGCTTCAGTTGTTCATGGTTGCTGTTCTTTAGTGCTGCTGCTATCGGGGATCACTGTTCGGTGGAACCGTCATAGCTCCCGTAGAGGAACCTTTGTAGATCCCTTTAAGGAGCCCCTTAAAGGAACCCCTGAAAGGAAGCCGCAAGTGCAGGTTCAGACAAAGGGCACCCTGACCCGAAAATTCGCCTTAGAGGGGCTTGAAATAATTAGAATAGGATTTGGGGGTTTAGTTTACTATTTAGGGTTTAGGGCTTAGGACTTAGGGTTTAGAATAATTAGAATAGGGTTTGATGGGGGTATACAAGCGGAAACCTGTGAAATTTCAGCAGATTTTAACCGGAACTTGGCGTGTTAATACCGACACGCGCTTAAATTAAACCACCTTTCAGCTTTAGGATTTAGATAAGTAGAACAGGGTTTGGTGGTATGGTGTACTATTTAGGGTTTAGGGTTTAGATAATTACAATAAGGTTTGGGGCTTTGGGTTTGGGGAATAGGGTTTGGGGTTTAAATAATTTGAAGAGGGCTTTGCGGGATTAAAGTACTATACTTATAGTAAGGAGCCACCAAAATAGTATTGGAAATTGTTTAGGCCCCTATGATATGCTATTCCCATTCATGTACAGGTACTATCCTAGTAAAGCTTACTACCTAAACCCTGGCCCCACCTGAATGCCTAATCCGTTTTCTGCTAAAGCGCTGAGGCCTACCTTAATGCCTAAGCCATAAGCCCCTGTAGATCCCATAAGCCCCTATAGATCCCATATATATATATATATATATAAAACCTGTGAGAACACTCCCAAGAGGAGAAGCCCAAAAGTTGGAAGCCCAATGGTCTGTATGCTTAAGAATGATTTATAGGGAATCCCAGCTCTTTTTGTCCTTAACCCGGTACCAAACTACCCAACATTCTGGTGTCTACATTACGGTATCCTTTCCTATCACTCTTGCCGATATCAGTATCACGGCATTCATCCTAAACGGTTTACTATACTGTTGATGGACAAAATCCTGCATTACCCATTATGAGGAATTACCATAGTTCCCCTAGTTTAGAGTCCTTAGGGTCATGCAGGATGTACAACATCAACCCTAAACCCTAAACCCTATAGATCCCTTAAAGGAACCCCCTTACAGGTACCCCTATAGATCCCTTAAAGGAAGCCCTTAAAGATACCCCTATAGATCCCTTTAAAGGAACCCTAGGAAATTATATCATCAACCGTAAGATTTTGTCCATCAGCAGTACTTCCATAGATCCCTTCAAGGAAGCCCTTAAAGGTACCCTTCTAGATCCCTTTAAAGGAACCCATCCCTTAGGATTCACAGTACTTCCAGAGGACCTTGCCGGCAGCCGGCCATGGGAAGGTAGCAGTCCGCGGCTCAGGCACCGGAAGGAATTGAGGACTTGGTGGGTTCCCTTACCCTAAACCCTAAACCCTAAACCCTATTCTGACAATTTAAGGCCCCTAAGGTAGAAGCCAGAAAGTTGGAATATCATTATCGTAACCCCTTTAAGGTAAATTATAGCGGATCCTACCCTGAAGCCATCTTCCAACTTTCTGGAGTTCCCTGTAAAGGGATCTTTAAGGGTACTACGGTTGATGATGTAAATCCTGCATTACCTTAAGGGCCCTAAACTATGGGAATTATGGTATATTCCTTATTAAGGGTTATGCAGGATTTAGATCATCAACAGTATACGGGTTTAAGGTTTAGGGTTATGGGTTTTGGGGGGTTCAGGGTAGTGGTCTCAGGGTTCAGGGTGGCGGCTTCATGGTTTGCCTGGAGGGGCAGGGGACTTAGCAGGTAGGTTATAAGTAGACTTAAATGTACCCCTTAAAATCGAGTTACCCCAACTATAACCCTAGTAAGTCCCCTGCCCCTCCAAGTAGTCCTTGCGGGTGAAGTGTCATGGTTCAGGGTGACCGGCTGACTTGCTGAGTCTGGGATGCTTTGCATAGCGTTTCTTCAAGGGATTCTTGGATCTGTGGTGCTGGGCTAGCACAGCTTGAAGCTTTATATGTTCCCAAAGGAAACACTGCATGTGTGCTGATGGTAGGGCCTGCGGATTGGTTCTTCTGGGTGTCCAGGCGAGGATTTTGAACTGTTATGGGTTTCGGTTCTGAATATCTAGCCCTTCGAAGACCTTGTAGAAACTATTCTGCCGATTGAGGCATGAAGGAACAGCCAATGTAGGGGAAACTCCTTAATTCAGGGGTTTTGGAGTCTCTAAGTACCCTGAAACCCTTAATCCTGGACCTTAAACAGACCGGTAGAATTTCCTCTGTAACAACTATTCTTGTAGCACTTCCAATCGTGGTATCTTTGGCTCAGGGCTCTACACAGGCTCCATGAATTATGAATGCGGTTTCGGATTTAGGGTTTAGGTTTCAGGGTTTAGGGTACTCTCATAACCCTTCTATGAAGCCTGAGAAACTCAGGAAAATAAACATCCTTTGTGCAATACTCTTATAGAACCCTTGCAAAGCTTATTCAAATTCTTATGAAACCCATGTAAAAGCCGTATGAACACCCAGAAGCCTCATTCCGTAGCTGTGGGTTTTCGGAGGTCCTGGGTGTCCTCGAATTTCGGGCAGGCGCACCGCATCGAAACCACCGCCGCTGGCCATGGCCCAAGCCAGCCACCAGTGCGGAAAGGAGGACATTCCCCTGTCTACTTGGAGGATCATGGGACTTAGTAACTCGAGTTATTATTAAGGTAACTATACTTATGATTACTTATAACCCCAATTAGGGTACCTATAACCATACTTACTATGTCCCATGATCCGCCAAGTAGGGTGCAACCCCTAAACCCTAAACCCCAAAGCCCTAAGCAACGCCTTTCTTGCGGTGGGTTTTGTGTGGAGTTGGGGCTATTACGGGTTTGGGGTTTTGTATGGTTTTAGCGAAGAGCTCGTTGGGACATCGGATGTGTTTTTGCAGTTCGACGGTCATGGGCTGCGCCCGGGTTTCAGGTTCTCTATTATTTGGGACCAATGCTCTCGCCCCAAATCAGCCCCGAAACGATGAAAACCTTGTACTACTCTTGAAAACTTCCGCAAGACCCCTGAACGACGAACCCCAGCCATAAACCCTAAACTCCCAACCCCCTCAAAAACCCTAAACGAAACCCTAGACTCCGAACCCCTATTTCTCGTACGGCTGGGAGATATGGTGGAGCAGCTTGATGACACAGGCACCCGTGAACAATGTCAGGGAGAAGGCCGCCTGTGGTGTCGCTGGGTGGCACAGGCCTACTGGCAGCACTACCAACTGATGATCCACAGACAAGTGCATGAACCTCCGCCGGAGGGGATGCTCACTCGCTCACGCAGCCCGGCAGGACTCCGCTCTGGGCGCCGTCGAGCACGCCGCGCTGCAGGGAGGAATGACGAGATGAGCCTGATGCAGACCTCCCACATGAGAAATTCGGGAGTACACAGGGCGGCTTGGACGCTGCTGTCGGTCGCTGTGGCGACTGGACAACGATTCCAACACTACGTCCCTGGCACGGAACCATGGTGGTATACCATTAATGGTATGGAGTATGCCTGGGGGCTCTACCACGGTGGAGCAGAGCCGGAGGTCTTGGCTTTGGCGCTCCGTACGGCTGTGGATGACTTCAGGGATGACAGCTTCAGCACTTGGGCTTCCTGGCTGGAGGGTCATGTTGGACAATGTCTATGTGGACCGAGGATCCCCTACCAGATGCCTCGACCTACGGAGAGAAATGTGGAAAACTGGGCACAGGACATGGTGGCTGGACTGCGGTGTGAATTCCACCAGCTCAGGCACCCTCAAACTATGGAAAACCTCCGGCTCGAGCAAGAGGAGAGGCGGTGGGGCCAAACCGGTTTTGTCACGGAGGACGGCTATGAGCTTGAACGTGCAGAACACCGAGACCGCAGCCGCAGCCGTACTCCGCAGGCCCTGCGCCGCGCTTCCGCTCGGCACTGCCTGGTGGACCGCATGCCAGCGGACCAGGAAGTGACTTCTCTCGTCACCACAAATTCAGGACGACCACGTAGGTCGCGTAGTCGTGACCGGCGAGGGCGAGGATGGGGAGCCGGGTCCAGACATGCACATGACCGAGACGCAGCTTCTACCCGAACCGCGCAGAGCAACGTGTGTGCCAGGGAAGAGGGATCGATGAGGCGAAGGCGGCAAACGGACCGAAGGGAAACAGTAACAAGGGAGACCAGGGTACTTCGTCCAGGGGTTCGACATCGCCAAGAACAACCAGAAGGTGGAGTGACGGGAAGACCGGGGTCGTCTACGGACCCTCCCCCGGCAGCCAGAACCGCTCAAACCATGGACATTGACCAGGGGGTGGAAACATGGCGGTACCTCCTTGGTATGACAAATGTATGGCCTCCGCCGCCGGTCATCTCCGACGGAGGGCCGCTGGTCTCGCAAGCGGCTCAAGACGAACTTGTTGCGTACCTCAGGGCGCTTGACAGGTCACAGCAGGCCCTCATGACCATTGCCTTCGTCCACATGCTCCGCTTCCTGATGGTGGAGATCAGTGAGGCGTGCCACACTACCAGTGTGCTTGGACATGGGGAGAGAGTACACTTGGATGAGGACGACGATGTGGAAGTGACGGTGGACGAAGATGAGGAGACAGCACACCTGCAGTTGCAGTTGTGGAGTCCAGCTGGGAGACGAGGAAGATTCCTCGCTGGGCTGGGAGGCCCTCTGGGAGGCTCGCTGCTGCTGGCTCTTCTCCCGCTGGGGCAAGGAGTAGACGAATGGCCACGCCTGCAAGCACCGTACTGGGTCGACGACATGACTGAAAGACTACAGCTCTTGCTTGACCGAGGGGCAGTGCTTCACGAAGTCGTGCAGTACCTGAGGGAGGCCGTGCAGAGGGTGGAGGATGACAGGTACCACATCGAAATCCAGTCTGTCTTGCAGTATGTGATCCGTGAGCTGCAGAACCATGTGCCGGCTGTTGACGACCCGCTCTTTGTGTCCATGGGAGTCCCGAATGAGCAGGAGTGCATGGATGTTGCTACGCAGCTGGCGTCCAGAATGAGGAGATGGTGGTATGCAAGGGTGTGCCCAGTGGCCCTCAGAAACGCGGACCGGGAGCTTGAGATTGCTGCCGTGGCCCCAGTACGAGTAGAGGTTTCGCCCGTGGCGGAGGCGGCCGAGAGGGAGGAGAAACGGCGGCTGTCCCGGTCACGGTCCCTCCATCGACGTAACCGACGGCCGTGGCTTCGCCGAGGTGCACAAGAGGCCGCCGAGGATGCCGCGGTTCTCATGCAAACAGGGCTGGAAGTCGAGCGACGCGCCAGGTGGCACCGTATGATGGTCCAGTTGCAGAAGGAGCTCACATTGCAGACCCCGGATGAACGAAGAAGCAATGTGTTGCAGTTGCGAGCCCGCTTGTGGAGTTCGGTGACTGGCAGTGAGTGGACGGAGTGGCAGGACCAGCTTCTGGCCCTCCTCACGGCGATGGTGGTCAGTGAATGCACTCTCCCAGTCTGCGAGTCCGAGGTCTTCTTGCAGTTATGGGGGGAACAGCTCAGGGAGTACGTGCCGGGAATGGAGAGGGCAATTCGCATGGTGGGAGTTATTCCGGTGGATAGCCAGGACACGGCCAGCACGGGATCGAGATTGATGGCGAGCTCAAGTCACGAACAGAGTCTCCACGGCAACAGCTCAGCGGAAGTGATTGACCGGCATGTGGAGGAGGAGCATGAGGCCCGTGCACGTCGGGCCAAAGACGAGGCGGATCGTGAAGCTGAGTTGGCTATGTTGGAGGCTGAAGAAGATGCAATGCTCAAAAGACAAGCCCGGGAATATCAGACCTGGGAAGATTGGGTGGTGGCGTCTGGCACTGCGGCAAGCCCTGCACCGGGGTCCTCACGAAAAAGGGCGATCGTGGAGGTGGAAATCGATGGGGGCGAATTGGAGGCCTCGCTGGGCTCGCAGGCACAGTATCGCCGTACCTGATGAGGGCACCGTCAGCATCCAGGTGAAGGCCTATATGGCGACAGACGTCCATGAGAGTGAGGTCGAGACCGTCGTGGCACCGGGAGTTACCGAACCATCTGGGCAAGCTAGTGCCAGCTCGGGGCAACAGGGTTTTGAGGCCATGGACTTTGACCTCTTCTGCGTGGAATACCCCAGGTGGCAAGCAGGCTCCTTGGAAGACTCTGAGGTGGTGCGAAGGTACGGGCCGGACGTCCTGCAGATGATGCATGCTCAACGTGCCTTGGAGGGATATACACAGTTGGACAGTGAAGAACCTCATGGGGATGGAGTGGGACTACATGAAGAAAGTCAGGTCGCGGGGACACCGGATGAAGTCGAGTTGAGGGCTCGGTTGCACCAGATGGATCAAAGAGGCGGTCCAGGGGATCCTGATAATGCAGAGAAGTACGAGGGCAAGTGAGGGGCATAGGTCGTCTCGTCTGAAACAGGCGTTCCGGATTCCAGCAAGACGGAAAAAGGCGCTCAAAAAAATAAGAACCCTTATAGGCACTCTGCATCCAGGAGGGCCTCTGTGACGCGAGCACCTGCGCCCCGGACTCGGAAGGCAGCGGCACGGCGCGCTCCATCGAGACTTCCGAGGAGAGCCAGAGAGGGGCCTGAATAGTTAGAGTAGGGTTCCTTTGAGGTTCCTTTAAAGGGGTCCATAGGGGATCTATCGTGGGGTTCTATATTAGGGGCCTTAATGATTACCAATACTATTTTGGGGGTTCCTCATGAAGGTAAAAATATACTATACCCCCAAAACCCTATTCTAATCATTAAGGCCCTTATACTGTTTTTTTTTTGTTTCGTATGGTTTTGATGTATAGGCTTTTATGTGAGGTGGGGATTCTTGGAATTTAGCTTTGGTGTATTTTTGGAGCAGGTCGTTAGGGTCTAGTGTTTTGGTTGTTTCATGGGGCTTGCAGGTGCTTACTGTGCATTGCTGCAATTGTACTGTGTTTACTTGTTGAATCAATGACCATCTAGTTCAGCATACATCTGCCGAAGGGGCGGCTCCAAGTAAGTCCAAAGCCTTTCAAACTCCCTAAACCCCAGGTCCTAACCCCAGGAGCCCTCCCTGAACCTTAAACCATGAAGCCGCAAACCTTAAACTACAGTTGATGATATAAATCCTGCATTACCTTAGGGACCCTAAACTATGGGACTTATGGTATATTCCTTGTTATGGGTAATGCAGGATTTACATCATTAACAGTACTAATCCCTTGACCACGAAATCCTGCGCCTTAAGCCGCCAAGACCTCGACGGCTCCTAAGGCCCTACAGCAAAAAACCCTTAAGCTCCCAAATCCAGAAGCCCTAAACCGTTAAACTCCAAAAACCTTTATGCATTCAGCCGCGAGACCTTAAACCCCACCCCTAAACCCTGAACCCTAAACCCTAAACCCTAACCCTAAACCCTAAGCCCTAAGCCCTAAACCCTAAACCCTAAACCTTAAACCCTGAACCCTAAACCCTCCTATGCAGGAGGCCGCGGACTCGCAGGTGATCGAAGCCTTCATCGCCGAGCTTCGAGTTGAGCGGTCTCGCTGTGTTAGTTTAGGGTTTAGGGTTCTCTGCGATTTTTGATGATGCAAATCCTACGTTAGCCAGCGTACGTAGGATTTGCGGGTTCTTTTACGGGTTTGGGGCTAAGGGATTCAAGATTCGGGCTTTAAGGTGTCATTAGGGTTTAGGACTTAGGGGTTAGAGTCTATGGTTAGGATTTGTTTATGCATCTTCGAGTGGGCATTTGGGCTTTGTGCATACATATATATATATATATATATGAGTATATATATATATATACACACACATGTACATGTGTATATATGCAAAAGCACATGCTTTGGCGTGAAGGTGTACCCTTATACACTTTTTTATGGTTGGGTTCAGGGCTTGTGAGTCTCCGGTACTTGGGATTCAAGGTTTGGGGTTTAGGGTTTTTTAAGGGGTTTAGGATTGGGGGTTTAGGATTTGGGGTTTAGGACGTGGTGTTTTTAGATTAAATTAGGGTTTGGGATTGTTGACATTTGAAGCTTAGGGGTTGTTTTGTATTTGGGAGTGGGGTAGTATGAGGCTAAACATGCCGACATCAAGCGTGAGGCGTTCTTTGCCTTCCTCGCTTTATCTTGTCAGTCCTGGAATCCCGGCATAGCTGCAGCTCAGAGTGATTCACAACCCTGTTGAGGGGTTCGGGTGCTGCTTCCCAGCCGAAATCCTTGTTCAGCACCTGTTGTGAACCCCTTAAATTCCCCAGCAAGGCCAGCCCTCCTCCGCCAAGACTTGAAGTAGAACCCGTCAAAACCATACACTCTGAGCCTTGGGTGCTGCACCACTTTGTGCCAGTTGGACACCAAAAGACGTTAACAGGACCCCTAGTATAGACTGTGACGGGGCGGAGGTAGTACGCAATTCAATCCCTGATATCATCCCTCCGGCATTCTACGTGCAAAACCTATCAGACAAAAATTTGGGAGTTTCCGAAAACAGGGGACCCTGATATAGCACCCCAAATAGTAGGACCCTTATTATAAGGGCCCCCAAATAAGGTACCCCTAATTTTCGGAAACTCCCATCTATCGAACGAGGCCACCGACGGAAAAAGCAGATTCAACCCGGCCGGAGGACAAGGTGTGCCAGAACTCTCATGGGATACTTACAGGATCATGGGACTTAGTAACTAGGGTTCCTTTAAAGGGGTCCTTTAAAGGAATCTATAGGGGTTCTATAAGGGGGATTTCAGGGTCTACTTAAAGGATCATGGGACTTAGTAACTAGGGTTATGATTAAGGCAACTATACCTATAATTACTTATAGGCCCAACTAAGGTACTTCTATCCATACTTACTAGGTCCCATGATCCTGAAAGTATTAGGAGTTGGGGTGTGGGGGATTCAGGTTGAGGGCTGCGTGTGTGATGGGTGTTGTTGAGGGTATAGGGCCCCCTCCGGTTTAGGGTTTAGGGTTTAGGGTTTAGGGTTTAGCTGAGAAATGACTGATGTCAGGGCATTTATAATCAGAATCGGGTTTGGGGGTAGAGCGTTATGAAATCCGAGCCTGCAGACAGTCTCACGCTTTCGGAATACTACAAACCCAGGGACTTCGATTCAAAACCCCTTGATTAATTCAGGAATATACCTGAAATCTTATTGCCGTTCCTGTTTATGCGGTATATTCCTTAATTAAGGAACATACCTCAAATCTCAGTAGGATTCCTATTATTAAGGTGCTTAAAGGAATCCTTACGGACCCTCAAAGGAACCCATATAGAACCCTTAAAGGGATCCTTACCCGAAGCCCCAAACCCGTAAACCCTAACCCCTAAACCCTAAACCCCAAACCCTAAACCCAATATGGAACCCTTACATAGCGGGTTTTGGAGTCTCTGGGAAGACAGGGCTTTAATCCCGAATCCCGTGGGGCTTAGACAAGTTGTCATGTTGTGTTTTGAAGCGCTTGTTCTATTTGTGTGGCCGCGTACCTCCAAACCCTAAGCCCTAACCCCCGGCCCCAATTAAGCCCCAAGCACTGAGCCCTAAACTTGAAAGCCCCGAACCCCAGAACCAACACCTCAAACCGCTTTAGAAAGCCCAGAACCTAAACCCCGAACTCCGAGCCCCAAAACCAGAACCCAAGCCCCAAACCCCAAACCCAAGACCCGAAAACAAATCCCCAAACCTAAACCCCAAACCCTGAAGAGGGCATTCCCTAAAGGAGCCCGGAGAGGAACCCCTTAAAGGAGCCCCAAGCCCTACGGTTCTTCTCCTTCAAAGAGCCTTCGCGCTCTGGCTTTCTGAATTAAGGAAGTACCTGACGTCTTATCACTGTGACACTTATCAAGTTATATTCCTTAATTAAGAAAATACATACTTTAAGCTCATAGTATGAATAATTAAAGGAATCCTTACAGACCCTCCAAGGCACCCGTATAGAGCCCTTAAAGGTATCCTTACCCTACACCCTAAGCCCCTAAACCCTAACCCTTAAACCCTAAACCCTAAACCATACTATGCTTTACCCCAAAACCCCTAAACCCCTAGACTCCTAGAATCCTTGTGGAACCCTGAATTAAGGGATGTTTCGTAGATCCCTTTAAAGGAACCCTTATGGATCGCTTTAAAGGAGCCCCAGGGAAATTGGGAGCCTTGGGGAACCCAGAGACTCCAATATCCCTTAATTAAGGAATATTCCTTAAATTATATGAGGATCCCTAGTATGATTTAAGGAATATTCCTTAATTAAGGGATATTGGAGTCTCTGGGAAGACAGGGCCGAGCCGCTCTGCAGCGCCAGCGAGCGCGCTGCCAGCAGCTGAACGACCAGCTCCAGGGCTTGGCACAGGACTGGGGCTCCCAGAGACTCCAATACCCCTTAATTAAGGAATATACTTTAAATTATAGTAGGGTCCCTACTACAATTTAAGGTATATTCCTTAATTAAGGGTATTGGAGTCTCTGGGTTCCTTTAAAGGGATCTATAAGGATTGTTTTCAAGGGATCTACAAAGGGGTTTAGGGTTTAGGGGTTAAGGGTTTAGGGTCTTCAGGGTTTCGGGTTCAGGGACTTTACAGTAGAAGCCAGAAAGTTGGAACATCATTGGCCTCATGCCCTTAAGGTAAAGTATAAGGGATCCGAGCACTAATCCTCCTAAAGTCATGTTCCAACTTTTTGGCTTCTACTATAAAGGGATCTGTAGCGGTTGTTTTCAAGGGATCTACAAAGAAAGGGGTTTAGGGGTTAAGGGTTTAGGGTGTTTAGGGTTTAGGGGTTTTGAGGTTTAGGGTTTCGGTTTTGAAGTTTGGGAGGGATCTACAATGGGGTTTAGGGGTTAAGGGTTTAGGGTCTTTAGGGTTAAGGGTTCAGAGGTTTGGAGGTTTAGGCTTTAGGTTTTTGGGTTTCGGGTCTTTGGGGTTTCGGGTCTTTGAGGTTTGGGGGTTTAAGGGTTTGGGTTTAGGTTTCGGGGGTTTAGGGTTTAGATTTTAGAGGTTTAGGGGTTTTGAGTTCAGTTCCTGAATATGATTTCCCCGCATAGGTCCTTAACAAAGGTAGGTTTTTTTGAGGTTAGGGTACGTTTTAGGGGTTTTGAGGTTGAGGGTTTGGGGTTTGGGTTGAGGGTTTGGAGTAAGGCTTGGCCTTAGAGTTTGGGGTTTCCGGGTTTGGGTTTTTTGTTTCGGGTATGGGGTTCAGGGTAAGAGGCTCCAAAATCCCTCAAGTCAGCGTTTCATAAAGGGTTTAGAGTTTAGTTTAGGGGTTTCGGGGTTTAGGGGTTGCGGGTCTGGAGTTCAGGGTTAGAGGTTGGGGTTTGGGGTTTTGGGTAAGGGCTTGGCACAGGACTTGATATGGCCGGGATGGGATTCCTTTAAGGGGTTCCTCTGCAGTGTGGGCTACTAAATGGAGAAGTCGGAATAATTAGTATTGTTCTTCCTTGACAGTCTTCAGATACGCATACTATATTGACCTAGGATGCCCAGTAGTACCCTTATTCCCTTTTTGTAGTCCTAGATTCCTTATAGAGTTACCCAATAGCAAAATGAGAGGCCTTTTTATTCTTAGGTTACTGGGTATCCTAGACTATATTGACTACATTATGACCCAGCGGCTTATTCTAATTATTCTTGCTCGTATACGGGGTGCCAGGGCTAGAGGCTTACTGTTTGGGGCTTGGGTTTTCGGGGTCATGGGGTTTACGGTTTGGAGAAGCCGGGCTACTTTATGGTTGTAGGGTGTAGGAGCGTCTAGGCTGCACAGGAAGGGCTTGAGACGGGTGCTGCATATTCGTGTTGGAATTCCTAGCTGTCTTGCTGTTTTTTCAGGGCTTGTGGTTGTACATGCGTTAAAGGTACCCTAAACCCTAAACCCTAAACCCTAAACCCTAAACCCTAAACCCTAAACCCTAAACCCCCTAAAGCCTTCGGATTCAGGGGTGCGGAGTTTGGAGTTCAGGGTAGACCCTGGGCTGAGCGATGTTGAAGGGTGCAACTAAAGGGAACTCCAGAAAGTTGGAATATGGTTTCATGTTAGGATACCCTATAATTTGCCATAGAAGGGTTAGGAGAATCATATTCCAACTTTCTGGCTTCTACCTTAGGTTGAGACTGAGGCCAGGGCCATCGTGTCTACTTTCCAAGTACCGAGATGTTTGCCCTGGCCATACTTTCTAGCTACTTGGTTACTAAGTCACCCTAAGCCCTAAACCTTAGCCGATTCTTCAAGTGAGGTTTGTTGATGTATGGGACGTATGGGCTGGGCGATTGAAGCTAAGCACTTCTACCCGCATCACGCCACTACCACGACCAGGCAAAGGCAGGCGATGACTGCACAGCAGATGCAATGGGACGCAACGGCATTGACCCTGCTCCCGGCGGTCAGATGTGGTTTACCACGTGCCGGTCCCCAAGTCGCCGTCCCACCAAGCGGAGATGAAGGAGGCCGGCCGATGCAAGGTTGCTGAGAACTCGAATTCAGAATGATGGTCGTGGTACCGTCTGCCAGTTGCTGGTGTACTACGTGGCGCACCAGGAACGGCATCTGAGCTGGTGGAAAGGGACTTGGCCCCGGCATTCCTGTTTCTACTTGGAGAAGATGAGTAACTGGTGTAGTAGGACGAATCCTAACCTCCAGCATCAACTTCGAACTCACATAGCTTGTCGTTCCGGTGGTGCAGACCCCTGATCTACTACTTTCTATACAGGTGATGGGATGTATAGATCAGGGGTCTGCACTATGTACCCCTCAAGAAAACCCGAAGCCCCCAAAAGACCTTACATGTTTTTCATAACCCTAAAGAGCCCTAGGTGCCCCTAGATGACCCTGAAGCCATAAATCCGACGCCCTAAGTAGACCCCCAATTGCTCCTGCATACCCTTCTACGGTTGATGATATAAATCCTGCACTACCTTAAGGACCCGAAACGATGGGAATTATGGTATATTCCGTATTATGGGTAATGCAGGATTTATACCATCAACCGTAGTAGCCCTGATAGACTCCGAAGAGCCCTCAACGACCCTAAGATGAAGCCCCCCAAATATGAAGCCCGAAACCTTGAAGAAAGCCCTGAACCCTAAACCCGGCACTCCAAAAACCTGGTGCATCCTAGCATCGGTGCCTGTCACGGTTTAGGGTTTTAGGGGTTTAGGGGGTTAGGGGTTTAGGGGGTTAGGGGTTTAGGGGTTTGGGGTTTAGGGTTTAGGGGTTTAGGGGTTTAGGGGTTTAGGGGTTTAGGGGTTTAGGGTTTTAGGGTTTTAGGGGTTTAGGGTTTAGGGGTTTAGGGGTTTGGGGTTTTAGGGGTTTAGGGTTTAGTCCTGTGTAGCGAATAGGTTGCTGAGTAGTTCCCCTTTCGCTCTTCTTACTTTGGGGTTGGGGGTTCCTTTTTTTCATAAGGGCGGACTTTTTGGAAATTTTGCAAGTTTCCGACATTTCCAAAAAGGTAATCCCCAAAAAAGAACTACTATGGGGCCTCTGGGTATGACATCTTCTTGGTCCAAAACCCAACTTTTCAGCTTTTGGGCTCTTATGAGGTAGTCTTATTCTGAAAGCTTGAACTATTCAGCCTGGGGCTTGTTGGGAAACCCTAAACCCCTAAACCCCTAAACCCTAAACCCTAAACCCTAAACCCTAAACCGCTTGTTGGGAAGTAAGTCTTAGGGTCCCCGTTTTAAATCGAATAGTAGGGACAAGGATACCCTTAAAATAACGGGGGCTGCACAGGAACCTAGTCTCGTGTCGGAGCCGTCCCGGAACCCTAAAGCCTACTTAAAGGATCATGGGACTTAGTTACTAGGGTTACTACTAAGGTAACTAGACTTATAAGTACTTATCCCAACTAAGGTACTTATAACCATACTTACTAACCCCTGGCCCTCCAAGTAGACCCTGACATGAAACCTTTAAATCCCTAATCCCTAAACCCTGAACCCTTCAACCCTCAACCTAAACCCCAAACCCACAAAGCCTTAAACCATAAACCCTTAACCCTTAAAGCCTTAAACCATAAACCACTAAACCCTCAAGCCCCCAAACCTTAAAGCCTAAAAAAGAGAGACTTTAAACCCGCCAAAGGAGCTGCTCCGAGTGGAGCCCGGAAGTTTGCTTGCGGCGCGCCTGTCCCCGCGCACGTGAGTGGAAGGGCTCTTAGACTAGGGACCCCAACAAGGACAGAAGCTACCTTAACCTACCAAAACCTGCTTCTTTGTAGGGTCCCTATAAATTCCCTATTGGGGCTAAAAATAAGAACCTACAAAAAAGTAGGGTTTGGTAGTTTAAGGTAGTGCTTTAGTGCTTCAGGGGCTTAGGGGTTTAGGGTTTAGGGTGGAGGGGGTCCGGGGCGTAGGGGCTCGAAAAGGACAGAAGCACAAGCATTTTATAGGGACATCCGTACCTTCTCGGGCTTCATTATAAGGGTGTTTATGTGGGATATCCCTATCCTTGTTTTTGCTCGTGTGCTTATTTAGGGCCCTATTAGGGAATAGGGGATACTCTAAGGGTATTCAAGGGTTCCGGTATAAGTTTTTTTTTTAATGAAGGGTTCCTTTAAGGGTTACTTCGAGTTTGGGTTGCTGGTCCAGGGATGTAAAGGTTTCGGGTTGAGGGTTTCTTCAGGGTTTGAGGGTTATCAAATAGAAGGGGCCCCCACCCCGTAATGGTGACTATAAGGATCATATTAGGGCCCTACTATATTCCTATTATACCACTATTACAGGGTGGGGGCTCTTCTAAGTTTTCTAGGGATTTAAGTTTGGGCTTTGGGCTTCCCCGGGTAGGATTTCTTCCCAGAGACTCCAGCACTTCTCCTGGTCATAGTTGGGTAACATTTTACACTTTTATGGGTGTTTAGAGCCAATAAGGAATACAAATGTAGATTTTTAATCCTCTCCCAACAATGAACTAGTTCTCAATTTGGGAGGTCTCGGATTTACTGACTTTTGGAGGGCATCGTTTTTATAATTCGAGGTTTCTTGATCTTTGGGAACCTTGAAACGCCAAATCCTCAACCCTCAACCCCAAACCCTGAACTTAAAACCTAAATCCCGAACCCTAAACCGTAAACCCCAAACTCCCTGAAGCCCTAAAGCCTAAATCCTAAATAGACTCCAGAGGTCTCTCTTGTAGTAAACCTCGTAGCCCCAGAAGCCTTGGAAAGAGCCCCAACTCGCCTAAGCCCCTCCACTTGGAGGGAAGAACCGCAGAGGGATAGGAATTGCCCCTGCCACGCTGGGGGTGGCTGCTCCCTTTTCGGTTTAGTTTAAGGGTTAAGGTTTTGGTTTAGGGTTTAGGGTTACGGGTTTCGGGTTTTGGGGTTTAGCTGTGGATTTGGGGGTTTGGGTGGAGGGTTTAGTGCGCCTGAATACCGAACAAAGCAGGCACTACATGCTGCAGGTTTCCAGGCCCGTTACTATGTCCTTGCATCCCATCATCCATCAACCAATCCTGCACCCGAAACCCTACACCCCAAACACTAGGCCCTAGACCCCCAACACCCTACACCAGCCCTAAGCACTAAACCATAAACCTTACAGCCCTAGGCCCTAAACCCTAAACGTGCTAAACCCTATTTGGGATGAGATCCCTTTAAGGGGCCCTTATAGATCCCTTTAAAGGAACCCATTAAGGGGCCCTTATAGATCCCTTTAAAGGAACCCATGTAAAACCTTACTAACGATGCTAAAGCTCTCTTCACACCGGCCCGAGCCTAGGAAGAGTCCAGATTTCCGCAGTTGAAAGCCCTGAACCCTAGTTGCAACTTGCAGATCGAGCTGTAGGGTTTAGGGGTTTAGGGGTTTTAGGGGTTTAGGGGTTTAGGGTTTAGGGGTTTAGGGGTTTAGGGTTTAGGGGTTAGGCTTTAGGATTTAGGGTTTAGGGGCAGTGGCGCAGCAACCCTCCCAATTCGAAGTTTCCCAATGCAAGCCACCTGGGAGACCGTGTCCACTTTAGATGTAGCTTTTGGCCTAACGCTAGGATCCCTATTAGAGGCCCTATAACTGGTAGGCGGTTTATTCATGAGGCCCTAAGCCAGAAACTCCGAACCAAGAACCAGAAGCCCTAAACCCTGTATCATAGGGGCCTTAATCATTAGAATAGGGTTTTGGGCCCATTCTACTATAAGTATAGTAAGGAACACAATAGTATTGGTAATAATTGAGGCTCCTATATTATGATACCTCATTTCTTCTGCCTATCCGTTTCGCTGTCTGGAGATATCTTCGAGGGGTTGATCCCTGTACCCCGAACCATAACCTCTTGATCCCTGAGTCCTAGGCCTCAAAGGGTTGCAGTTTCTGAACAACTTGAAGTCGAGACTCCAAATCATTGACTTCAAACTCTACGTCCAGGACATGTATTGTGCAGAACTTAATCAGCCGTTCACTCTGTGTCTGTATGCTTTAAACTTAAATGCCCTACACCCACCCCGAACCTTTGAACCGCTGTAGTATAGAGGCCGGATTAACTATAATTACACTGTTATTCGCTGAGGTTTCTTGTTATAAGGCCACTCCAAGAAGATCGTGAAACAGTGCATTCCAAGAAGATGTTGCGGCCTGCTGCATACGGCCGGAGGTCCTGTGGGTTTCGATTTCTTGTGTGGGACCCTGCTTTGGCATAGGGCCCCGGTTTGTTTCGCTTGCTTGAGCTGACACCAACGGTCCTGTTCTTACACGGGATACGTCTTATTGAAGCAGTATTCGGCACAAATTAGGCTGTACTTTGGCAGGGTCTCGTAGTCCCGCAAGTAAAGTTTACCTTCCTGGACCGTAAAAGCTTTAAGGCATGTCCCGAGGTGGAGGGGTCGTCGTGTTGGGAAATGCTCGCAAGACCTGCAAGCGGGGTGGATCGTCAAAAGGCATGGCGGCGTCCCAGTTTTGATGGGGCCAGTGGGGTATAGGAGCCCGAACACAGCGTAGCCCCTAAACCTTGAGCCCCAAACACCATTTTTTTCACCCTCTGCATTCCGCTTCGTTTTTTTGATAGCAATAGTGGAATGTATGTACCCCAAAGCCGGATTCTAGCCCTAAACCCTGACAAACCATGTACATGATTCGGTGACACAGTTCCACAGTCCCAGGGGTTGAATACTAAAACGTAGAATGGTTGACGGTGCAGGGTTTGGTTAGTGCTTAATGTTTGGGGTTCAAGTTAGCGCCTAGGGTTTAGGTTGGTCCAGGCTTTGGGGTTAGGGTCGATGCCCAAATCCAAAAAAAGCATGTAGGATCGAGGGTAAATACCGCTTCGGGATACAGGCAGGGTTGCAAGGCTGGTGACTCTGAGGCAGGAAGCGAACTGTGCATGTGAAAAGAAACTCAGAAGCCAACGCATGCATGAACAACTATTCAAGCACATATCCACATATGCACATGGCATACTGATATACGCAAGTCGACAAAATACCATTAAAGCACATCCGTAACTGCGTGAATATGTATAAGTTTGAACAGGTACATGTATGTGCAGACACAAAGTTAAGTACCCTCGCATAAAGAAGCAAGGTCGTGAATCCATCCGGTAAACGTACTACATGTATCTTCGTATTCCATGTCGTGTACGAAGGCAAATACATATACGTAGAGACATGTGTATTTAGATGTATATGTCCACTGAAAAACTATGTTGAGTTTTGTGTACATTCTTGTTTATGCATTTTATGCGGGTATTTGCGCAAGTGAGCAACCCGAAAATGAATAAGTCCCTCAACTTCCTGTGCATTCATGTTTCTACCCTGTGTATCTACGAGCATCAAGCAATCTATCTATCTGTCTATCTATCTCTCTCAACCCATCTACCCACCTATCTTTCCATCGATCTATCTATCAATCTGTCTATCTCTCCGGGACTTCTTTAATCTCCCGGTCCTTCAATTCCAACTCTCGATCGCTTAGTGTTCTCCGGTCTTTTGCAGGCTTCGCATAGAGCTTTTCTACGGTTTTGCAGGGTGTACATGAGGCTTCTCAGAGGTTCCATAGAGTTTACACGAGGCTTTCACATGATGAATATGTGGTTCTTGCCAGGCCCTCAACCCAACACGCTGAACCTTAACCCCCGCATCACCACTGCTTTTTGTAGTCAAGAGGCGCCGTAACTTGATGCCAAGGCGGCTACGGCGCCCCCAGCCACGGGCCGGGTGCTGCTGTCGAATGCTTGCCTCCCAGAAATGTGAAGTTTCGGTTTCAGGGTATGTTTCCTTGAGTGCCCAACCCCGAGGGGTAGTTGTTGGAAGCAATGTTCAATTTTTCCGTTACTGTCATCCCTATGACAAAGCTACCTGTATCGTTCAAACCTTTGCAAGGGTACAATGTTCGGAATATCACCCTAAACCCCAAACCCTAAACCCCAACCCCCAGTCGTCGTAGATTGCGAGCTCCTTTCGAGTTTCAGGGTGCAAGATGCAGACAGGCAGCCGAAGCTCACCAAGTTTATTGGCCAGCATGATCTACTGTACCCAAAGAGCAGGATAGCCTTGAATCCAAGAGTTTTAATTACTTCGGGTAAATCGTTCAATCCTGTAGTGCAATCCTTCCCGCAGTCTTCCTGCTGAAAACCCGAACGATCAATAACCTCCACCTCAAGCTTCAGGGTATCACACTGCATGCTACGACCTTCGCTCCTTGAAGTGCAAAGCCCGGAACTCTGAATCCTCAATCCTACACCCTTGACAACCCTACAGTAGTCCCTGATACCTTACTAAACAACTGGCCCTAAGCCTTAAACTCTACACCCTTACGTCCTAAACAGCTCTAAACCCAAAGCACCTTGAGCGTGTCGGTGCGTGCGTGCGTGCGCGTGTGTGTGTGTGTGGGTATGTGTATGTGTCTGTGTATGTGTCTGTGTATGTGTATGTGTATGTGTATGTGTATGTGTATGTGTATGTGTATGTCTGTGCCTGCGTGTGTGTGTGTGTGTGCGTGTCTGTGTGTGTGTGTGTCTCTGTGCGTGAGGTGAAGCCCCTCGGGCGTTCCAAGTTGACGCAAGCATCGAAGGTGCCGTTCGGCTGTTCTTTAGAGTCTGGATAACTGAAACAAGGGTTGGAAAAAGCGTTATGAAGCGGCTTATAGCTTGTAGAATGGATGAGTTTATGTAATCCTTGCATCGCAACAATTTGGAGGGGCCCTCCACAATAAGCATCAAAC